CTCGAAATTGGACTGGATTGGGTTATAAGCTACGAGAAAAGTAAAACCTATGAATTTAACGTATTTTTTATGAAACGTCCTTTTAAAAATGTTCTTCGTGATAAATGTATTGGGGACTTCGTTTTGTAATTGAATGCAGCCACGTGAAGGTCTGATGACTCTACTCAGCGGCCTTTCCTCCATTGTAAATAAAATTTTGAAAAGTTTTGATACTTTCCCCTTTTCTATAATTGTCTCAATGAGAAAAATAGTGATACAGAATTTTAATTTGTTAGTTTTTTTCCGGCTCATGTAAAGTAAGCATTCCCTGATCACATTCATATTTTTTATTTTCAGAAAGAGAAGTGATAGCAGAAGAATGGAACAACAAAGAGTCTGGTCAAGAGAAGACACTGGAATCACTGACTTTTTTTAGATAAAGATAAGATAAAATAAGATAATTTATTTAATGTCGAAAAATACACAGAGGGTGGTCTCCCAATCCCCCGAGCCGAGAGGCTCATGATAAAAGTGTTTGACAATATAAAAGAACGCTAAAATTGTAATAGGACCGATTAAATTAGAAATAATGTATATATCTAAAAAAAAAGAAAAAACCGAATCAAAGGCAAACACTGCATTGACAGCCGATAAAATTTAACTTAGTTTAAAAGTCTCCGGAAGAATGATGCATTAGATGCATTTTTTACAGCAGATGGTAACTGGTTCCAAACACGCGAGATCATATACGCGTATGAGCCATGAAGGAATCTGCTATGGTATGAAGTTTGTACTACGTTTGACCACTACTTCCAAGATTATATGGTGTAACTCGGGGTTTGAGTAAATCAGCTATATAGTCTGGACCATTCTCCCTAAAACATTTAAAAAATATTATCAAAGATTGTTCAATACGTCTATGTTCTAAAGTATTCATGTTTACCATCCTAAGGATTGATTCATAATCAGTACTTTTTCATAAATTCGTTATAGTTCGTAGACTATAATATTTCGCATCTTCCAGTTTCTTGTTAAAGTCCCTATTCACCCCCAGAGTTTTATATTTCGATTTTTTGCGTTATCAGGTTTAATCTCCCAAAAACTTTTTGCGATTGATTAAATATTTCCCGAGATATGCCGCCTCAAAGTTACTCTTTTGGCCACGCCCTTTTGACTTGGCCGGGAGAGAATTACTGGGCCGAGTGACATCACAGCAAGAACGAATGTTAACTTCTTGTATAAGAACATGTGTCTATTGCTGTAAAATGATGTGAAAATGCCGACTCGTTGCGTGGTGGCTGATTGCTCAAATACACCAGATTCGTCTAAAGGCATGTTCAAATGAATGTAGGGACATCGATCGAAAGACGTTCTTGCTGTGACGTCACGAGGGCCTTTAGTTACCAGTATTAACTTAGCCCGGCCAAATCAGAAGGGTGTGGCCATAGGACGAACTTTGAGGCGGCATAATTATCTCGGGAAATATTTAATCAATCAAAAAAATTTTTTTCGGAGAGTAATCCTGATAACGCAAAGAATGTAAATATATATAAACCCCTGAGGGTGAATAGGGACTTTAAGGAGTGACGAGCATCTAATTTCTCCTTACAGCATCACCCCTGAATCACACATTAAGGTCAGGAGCGAAAAAGAACCTTTTGACTGTTAAAAACGAATTCTTGTCAGCAGCTTAAAAATTTATACAGTACAGAATGGAGAACATGCAAACTAATGTTAGGGATTGAAGGGTAAACAGTGACGTCTTCT